TTTTATTTTTTTTTAAACATTGTGATTTTTTTTTCGTGTTTTTTTTCTTGGATATATATATATTTTCCCCTCGTTCATTATCGTACTTCATACTTCATCATGACCGAACAGACACCTAAAGTACTCAAGCTTAAGACTTTGTCCCCGCCTTCGTTTCAACTCATGCCTTTCTGGCCCGACAACATCGAAGCCTGGTTTTGCTACGCAGAAGCCGACTTCTCCGAGCACGGCGTGATCGACACACGTGCACAATTCCTCGCAGTAGTCAAGGCACTACCGCGCGAATTCAACAGGAACGTAACACCCAGTATGTTTACTAGTGATGTTTCCGATCCTTACGAAATCTTAAAACGCTCGATTCTTAAACGAGGAGATCTAACTGATCGACAAAGGTTAGATCAACTCTTCGATAACATAGACCTGCAACACGGTTCTGCGACGGACATGTTGCAACGGATGAGAGAGGTTATAGGCCCAAGAACTTTCGACGAAGGTCTATTCAAACAACTCTTCTTGTCAAAACTTCCCCAACAGGTGCAAGCAGTTCTGGTCTCGTTCCAGAACAACGCCTTAGACGAGCTAGCTGCATCTGCCGACCGCATTTTAGAAATTACGAAACCTTCTACTACCGAGGTATTTTCAGTCAAAGAAAAGCCTCACACGACTCAGAACGATATAACCGACTTATGTCACACACTCACGCGTTATCTTAGTCTTCGTACCGACCGTAAGAGATCGCGCACACCAAGTAGAAGCATTTCACGTAAGCGATCTGTCTCTAGACCACAAGAGACAGATAACCCCGATTGGTGCTGGTATCATAACCAGTATGGAAAGCTTTCCAGAAATTGCAGAAAACCCTGTAATTTTCCCAACACGAAACCGACTGATTCGAAAAGCAATTCGGGAAAATTCCAAGCCGGCACGCGTTAACGGCAACCGTAGCCGGCGAACAAAGCCGTCTGTTATTCGTCACAGATGTGACAACGAGAGTTCGCTACCTCGTCGACACTGGCGCAGAAGTTAGCGTTCTCCCAGCGAATCCTAACGACCGACTTCACGAATCGACCTTAAACTTACAGGCGGCAAACGGAAAACCGATCGCTACGTATGGCAAAAGGTACGTTTACCTTAACGTGGGTTTACGCAAACCCATCCACTGGATTTTCGTTGTTGCAGATGTTTCTATGCCAATCATTGGTATGGACCTTCTACAACATCACAATCTGATCATCGATACACGCAAACGGAGGCTAGTAGACGGAAACACTAATTTGTCCGTTTGCGTAACTTCCTTTTCTGGTTGCAGATTATCCCCAGTCAAAGTTAAGCATATGATCGACCCACTTTATCAGCCACTACTCGATAAGTACCCGGGGATACAACAAACTCAATCGAGACTACCGTGTGTAACCAGCAATGTTACACATCACATCACGACTACAGGACCACCTGTATTCTCTAAAGCACGACGACTAGCTCCTGAAAAGCTAAGGTTAGCGAAAAACGAATTCGATCACATGATAGATTTAGGAATCATACGACCGTCAAATAGCCCTTATGCATCTCCGTTGCACATGGTCCCTAAAAAGGACAGCAACGATTGGCGTCCAACTGGTGACTATCGGCGATTGAACGCGAAAACCATTCCCGATCGTTACTCGTTGCCTCACATTCACGATTTGACAGCTACCTTGAAAGGTACACCTGTCTTTTCGAAAATCGACTTGGTTAAAGCGGATAACCAAATCCCTATGGCTACTGACGACATACCGAAAACAGCTATCATAACTCCTTTCGGACTCTATGAATTTTTGCGAATGCCTTTCGGTCTAAGGAATGCTGCTCAAACATTCCAAAGATTCATAGACGACGTTTTTCGAGGTCTCAACTTCGTACACGCGTATGTTGATGACTGTCTAATCGCAAGTCCGGACAGAGAAACACATCTCAAGCATCTGGATCTTGTTTTCGAACGACTTCAAAAACATGGCATTACTGTAAACGTTCAGAAATGCCAATTCGGAACCGACTCGTTAGACTTCCTAGGACACACTATCGATGCTCAAGGCATTCGACCCCTTAGAACCAAAGTGGCGGCCATTCTGGATTACCCAGAACCGACCACCGTCAAGCAATTACGCACGTTTAACGGTCTCGTAAGTTTCTATAGACGTTTCATACCGAAATGCGCATTACTCATGAAACCTCTAATCGACCAACTTCGTGGAAATGCGAAATCCATTAATTTGGACGACACCGCACGAAAAGCATTCTCCAGAGTTAAGGAACTGATTGCTAAAGCAACAATACTCGCACATCAGAACACCCGAGCACCCATTAGCATCGCAGTAGACGCATCCGACTCGGCAATCGGAGGAGTCTTACAACAATGGGTTAACAACTCCTGGCAACCCTTGGCATTTTTCTCTAGACGGTTGCTAGACACCGAATCGAGGTACAGCACATTCGGTAGGGAACTCCTAGCTATGTATTGTGCTGTACGGCATTTTCAACACTACATCGAAGGTCGTGAATTCACTCTTTACACGGACCATAAACCGCTCACTTTCTCGTTAAGCTCTCCTTCTGACAAGTACTCTCCCCGTGAGTCTCGACAACTGGACTACATTTCGCACTTTACTTCAGACATTCAACACATCTCTGGAGCAAACAATGTAGTTGCAGACGCCTTATCTCGCATAACTTCCTTGAACAGTTTCCAAGGAATCGACCTTCTTAAACTCGCCGAGCTTCAAAAAGAAGACACTGATCTTCAGCACGAGTTATCGTCCACAACACTTAAACTACGCATCAAACAGCTGGGAACAGGTAACGAAACCTTACTTTGTAACACGTCTACAGGTAGGGATCGCCCAATCGTGCCGAAACATTATCGACGCAATGTCTTCAATACATTGCACAAACTTTCTCATCCAGGTGTTCGAGCAACCATCAAGCTTATAGCAGAAAGGTTTTGCTGGCCTGGAATGAATAAAGACGTGAGGGAGTGGGCACGCTCCTGTTTAAGCTGCCAAAAATCTAAGGTCATCAGACACAATAAATGTCCCTTAGGCTCGTTTAAAACTCCCGATGCTCGTTTCGACCATGTTCATCTGGATTTGGTAGGACCTTTACCAGATTCAAATGGATACTCTTATCTCTTAACCTGCGTAGACCGTTTCACTCGATGGCCAGAAGCAGTACCTATCAAGGACATCACTGCTGAAACAGTGGCCCGCACCTTCGTCGAACGATGGGTAGCAAACTTCGGTTGCCCTTCAACCATCACTACAGACCGCGGACGTCAGTTTGAATCTGATCTTTTCCGTCGTCTGACCACACTTTTAGGAATCACTCGCTTCCGAACGACCGCCTACCATCCACAAGCAAACGGGTTGGTAGAACGTTTTCACCGACAACTGAAAGCTTCGCTATCAGCTGCAAACGTTTCACAGTGGACTGACGCTCTTCCACTCGTCTTACTAGGTATCCGCAATGCAGTGAAAGCTGACATTGGATACACTGCGGCTCAACTCGTTTATGGAACAACACTTCGACTTCCAGGAGAATTCGTGGATCCTTCATCCTCTTCAATGAACATGGATCTAACCTCCTACACGAACAGGCTTACAAACGCAATGCGTTCAGTTAAACCTGCTTCCACTCGACCTCAATCAACTGATGTTTTCGTTCAACCTGACTTACGATATAGTACACACGTTTTCGTTCGTCGAGACTCGCATCGAAGACCATTCGAATCAGCATACGAAGGACCCTTCAAAGTTCTTCAACGCGAACCGAAGTACTATATAGTCGATAAGAACGGAACAAGCGATAGCATCAGCATCGATCGCCTCAAAGCAGCGTACTTGGAAGGAAATCCTATCTACGTCGATTTTCCTTCGTTACAATCGAACGACACGACTCCGACACTTATAATACCCCATCCGACAACCAACACACACGATACTTCGACAGTATCCGAAAATAAACTTAAAACGACGCGTTCTGGAAGAAGGGTGAGATTTCCAGAACATTTAAACGACTATTGCACGTAAGGCACTTCTCGACATTTTATATTATTTTTTTTTTAAAAAAAATTTTAATATGCTTATATATTTTTATTTCTATTTTAAAAAAAAACAAACAAAAAAAACAATTTTTTTAACGCTATTACGTGTTCATGAGTTTATTTTCCATTTTTTCCCGCCGACATTGTGTTTTTACGCACATACGAATGTATTTTCGACATACACTTACATTTTCTTTTTTCTTTTCCAGGACGGCTGGAAAAGAACGATGACGTTTATGAGGATCCGAAATTTTCATTGTACATTTTCTTGTTTTACTATGTTGTACCTCCGTCCCATATAGTAAGGAAAGACGACCAGACGCTGCTACACTTAGTAAGCTATCAGAAGAGTGTTTACCAACGACAAACTCGTTGGGTTTAAACTTCTGGCTGGCCACGTCTTAGGGTCATCACTGCCCCACTAGGGGGGGAGTGATCTGTAGCGGTAAATAAATCCCCAAAATAAATAGCCCTAAGTTTTCGACATTGGATGCTGACCATATGTTTTAGTGGACCCATCTAGCTGAAGGCGCTCGGTCATGCATCCGCACCAGATCACGTGTGGTTACGCCGTGCTCAACATCAACCGCAATCGCTAGCCAGATTAGATCAGAGAATTCCGATATATTGGTCATCGCCAAATATACTCTTCCGATCTCCTCGACTCTGTCTTTTGATTTCTCTGGGCGGGAACGAAATATATTAGAAGGTGTTACTGGTAGAAGCGTTGTCAAACACTGAATACCTGTGACATCATCAAAGTGTAGGATGCTCCGAAATATGCACCAGATTGTTGTGTGGTACTGTCAGTGACATAAATATTTGGCCAGAAGTGGAAAATGAAAGAACAGTACTGTGTGTTTACCACACTGAAAGTTTGACATGAATCAAGCGTGGTTTAAACCGACTGAATTAGGGATTTATTACCCTGAGTTAAGGCGCTCAGTACGCCATAGACGCTAGATGCAGGCCTGGAATTTAGAGCGTATACCATTGCCAAACTTTTCCACATACGTAGTTTATACAACAGTATCATTGCTAGGATCTGTATTACATGTATTCTTCCAGATGACTAAAGATGCTAAACCTGAAGGAACAGGAAATTATACCACACTAAACTACCCTACACTGGCATTAACTTGCTGTCTGGAAGACAGTTGGTGCTTCTGGAGCTTCGTAAACTTTGGATACTGTTTGTTGATGTATGCTGCAAGAGAATTGCAAAATTTGTTTTTCGGTCAACTTCGAAGCGCTGAAGATTCACATATCAGAGAAAATTTTTCTAGTTTTATTTTCTATAAGGTGGTTTTTATTTATGGTATTCTCCACGTGGAAGTTCTTCATGAACTCCTTCTTTGGGCAACGTGGTTTACTATACTTGGCTTTTTGCGTCTTCTAACTGGTCTCATCAGGGATCGTTCTCAGTACAGTCTTCGTTGTTCTGATTTCTCTCTTACTTATCAAGCCCGAATATTTTTATTATGTTGTCTGCTCCTGCTTTTCAGCAACGTTCTGATGATTATTTCTATAATCGTGGGTGCTAAGCATTCTCTTAATACTATGTTCTTTATGCTTGCGGAGGTATTTCAACTTTTGATTGTCACTGTGCATGTTATCACGTGGTATGTAGTTTATCTATATTGCGAAGTTGCCTCACGTTCTAATGATGACGATAAAGTGTACCACCGTTTTGTGCTTCTTTATTACACTGAATTCGTTTTTGATACGATTGCTGATGCTGGCGATGTATTCCATAACCTACATATGTTATTTTGGAATAAACTTCAAATAAATATGTCAAGCATCATTGTTGCCTTGCACCTTCAACATTTATACTATAAAGTGTCCAGACGTTTTGTGCATCACAAACGCTATAAAAACGTACTAAAGAATTTGGATACTCGGATTGTTTATTCCAAAGTAATTATTCAGTTTTGCATTTTTAAACATTTTTTGATCAATGTAGGCCAGACTTCATCAAACACTGTAACCTATCGACTTCTGTATTGTATCTGTTAGTTGTCGTTAGGATGTTCATATCTAAGCTTTCTAGTCCCTGTAAAGTTGTGATGTCTGCTAAATTATGTGATACATATCATAGTCTCAAACAGCTATCAGTTGATGTTGTAACTATCCGACCGTCAAATATCACCTCAGTTTTCGCTTTATTTAGCACCATATGGTCTCATTACCTTTCGCAGTAGATCTGACTCATAGTCTTGTAAATGTATCTACAACGATACCTGGTTGCGCATCAACCTTTATAATTGACTCTGGAAAGCCCTGTTCAAAGATGACAAGATATGCTGCTTATTTTGTGACTTTTTGAAACTTATGATCTTTACTCAAAATGTAAGCAGTAGGTAGTTTTGTTTGAATGGCTCATGCGCATGGATTAATTACATAATAAGTATAATGAAAAGTGATTTAGTGACTATAAAACCGTCACTTATTGTTCAGAAGATTATCAGTTCTCAGGTACGTATTTTTATCAAACTAATCTTGTGAATTACCTTACTAATCGGCTTTTGGATAATCATAGTTACGTGAATGTATTTACCAGTTATGTTATTTCCCTTCCCACCTTAAGATTCTGGCTTTCCCCTCGAATGATGAGTATTAATTCATAATTTCCATCATGCAACTTTATCTGTTTCTCATGTCTTCTTTCCTCAGTTTTCATGTCTTTATTTCCAATCATTTGATTTTTGTACTGTTAATCTTTGTTGATTGCAAATTAGTCATAATCACTTTAAAACCTGACACTAATGTTCCGTGGCCACACTTCGGTAGCACGACCAGATAGTTAAAAAGATGAATAAAGGCTAATCGTAATAACGTAGTATCAATAATAATGAAGTAAATTGGATTTTGAAGATGTAGTATGAAAATGTTTTAGGTGTCAATACCGAGGTTGGGCTCGGTAGAAAGTTATTAATGAATATGTTTTTTTGTTGTATCCCACTTCTTTACTCTAAAAAAGCGGCTTACATTAAGTCACAAACGTCAAAAATACAATTTTTCTACTCATTGGGATATAACAAAAAATATAGTATATAATATAAAACGATAGAATAGAGAGGTGTGTATCAAAAAGTACTGGAACGTATGTTGGATGTACTCATTTGAGCTAATAAACTTTTGGGTTAATTCCAAAGTTATGAACTAATCACTGTGAGATACCGTTGTTCACAAGGTAGGCTAGAGTTACAAATAATCAGATTTCGTGTTTTATCATCAAATCACATTTTTCATGTATTGCATCGTAAGCCTAAGTACAAATATGTACTTCAAAGCGAGTTCTCTGCTTTATTTCTGAGTCGTGCATATAATTATTCTATGGTATTTTGACTTACCAGAAGAAATAAAACAAGACAACTCGGACTACTGTTTTTCAATTATTTCTTTGAATTTTCTGCATTAACCACAAGTGTTTTTTATAATGGCGGTCAAAAGAGTAAGTCTTTAAAGCTTTGATAACTTGGTTCACAACACAATATAAACATCGTCTCACTCGCGACTTGCATATTTGACTGTCAGTTTACCGTGTTTCCATCAGTTTATTTGAAGTATGCTTTCCAGGTTGAAATAGCTCGTTCAGTGACATGGTTTTTATAATACTGATAACTATGGATGTTGAGTTCTTTGTGTTGTCTTACCTTTTGATAAGCATATGTTGGATTTTAGTTTTGTTCAACGTTCTAGTGGTTATTCACATCTTTTAATTATTAAATATGATTATTCAACTGTTTCAACTATTTTTCCTCTCAGTTTTGATTTTACGCATTATACTTTCTACTGACCTGTTTCTCGCTCGAAATCTGTTATATGAAACACCAAGTTCCAGTTATTTGTCCCTAGGCATCATGATGACACACTTAAAAGAAGACCTGTAGGTCCGCTACCTTTTTCCGAGATGTTGTAAAAGGCTGGGGATTGGATCTTATCTCAAACCAGACTATCATATCATGCTTTTACCTTATTAGTGGTCCTTCGACTTGTATCAGTTGGTGATTAAACCCATTTCTAATTAAACATATCAACCTCATTCAAATTCATTGTTTTTCATTTTATCATGTTCGTTATTTGACCAAACGTTTCGACCTTAGTGAATAAATAATACTTTCTGTTTTCACTGCAAATGAAGGAAAATTGTCCTATTTGCTGGGAGAAAATGCGCAAATCCTGTCAACTCCCCTGTGGACATATTTTTCATACTGCCTGTTTATATCTGTGGATTGAACAAAACAATAACTGTCCTGTATGCAGAAAGTGCTTTGATGATTTAAATGGTCTACCTCCAAATACAGTAACAACAAATTTACCTACAACACCTCCCAGTTCTTTTTCTACCAGTGAATCTTCCGAAATATCGAGAGGTCAAAGTAATGAGTCTAGTTTTCACCCTTTATCATCCGAAACCAGTCAGATAGGTTTCTGTTCTGAGAATCAACTTAATGTAAGAAAATTGTGCGAAACATGTATTCCGACTACGAAAAATTCTGGTTTCTCCGTTCGTCAAACAACGGCGGATTCATTACTTTCCGCAAATAAGTTCACTTCATCCAACGAATCATACTTTTCGGCAATGGTTAGTATGGACCGTCTGTTGGATGTACATGATCAGTTGATTGCTGAAGATGTTGCCAATGTTCGAACCCGTCCAAAAAATGCATTACCTGCAAAATTCTTAGCTATACTGGAAGCTGAATTAGTTAGTTTTCATGTGGTTTTCACTTATTCTCCGTACCTGTCTATATTATTTTTATTATTGTTTTTATACCTTCATCAGGACTACTGATCATTATGTTTGTCAGATAGTGGTAGATTCCAGTGTTTTGTAATGCCGATTGATCCTCTAGTTTGAGATCGTTGTTATACTGTTTAGGACCATTCTCAATGCTTTGATTAAATCTTATACAGCTTAACCATATCGATCATACAGAATAAGAATTATTTCTGACCATCGTATGATAAATATATTCCACAGCTGAATCCTTCATATGTTGAATTGCATAATCTTCCCAACAATTTTATTGTGAGATGTTAACAGTAGCTTACTGCTGATCTCCCGATGATTATAAAGATAATTTGTTTTCTCACCGAATGTCAGCACTATTGGAGAAAACATCGAAAGTTAAGAATGTTTTGAGATATTTTGTAGGCGCTAAGTGTGATTAGATGAATTAATGAGCTGTATACTTGAGTATCTTACAGTTAAGAGTACACTACCAGTGTTAATATACTCAGAATTATCTCTTAATCCAGTGAATGATTATAAGGTTAAGAGTAGCTAGCACTACGTATCTTACTGAAAAATGACTGGATTGGTGTTAGGAATACTTCTCTATTTTATGCTTGTCACGATTTTTGCATCGTATTTTATTGTGTAAGTAAAAATAGTTGATCACGTAAAATGTATGATCTCTCGTACGAATGCATGTATTGTTTAAGAAATATTTGACAAACTACTGGAATTATAAACTGAGGGGTTTATCTGTTTGCTAAATACCTTCCTAAATTTAACTTGAGATTCGTTGACAGTTATTGCCAAATACCAGGTTAATTTATCGGGACATCACGACGTTTTGTGACATGAATCGCATAACATTTATTTAGTCGAGAATACAAGACGTAACACGTGCTGTTGCACACTGGCTTTTCATAAGAATCTAAATATGTAGAATATCCCTCATCTGTGTTTTACAATCATTTAAATGTCTCAGTCTGAATCTTGGAAGGACGGTATCAGTCGTATGTTAACTGATGACGGTTCATATTCTACTGGAACAAAATACTATGATAATAGTGTGACATTTTTCAAAAATTCGAAAACTTCATTTGTCACATGCTTAGTTTCACCTGCTTTCTACTAATAGAATATGATTGATATAAAGCAGAAAACATATTCGTTGTCACGAAAAGTTAACGTTCTAAACAGTTTAATGGGTAGAATGCGATCTGACATCTTCGTTACTAAGTTCCTCGAATGACGTTGATTTAATGGTAATGTTCCAACTAATAACAGTTCGACTCGATAGCTGCATGAGGATTTCTGTGGTGAGCTGTTTGTCATGTTCATATGATGACAAATTACATTGAACCTTCTCAACTAATGTAGTTAGAGTTTGATTAAATTGTGTGGCTGCAAGTCATCCTCAGAAATAATCATTCCATAAATCTAAGCATAATGAATAAAATTATATGTTTATGTTCGTTGCGTATAGTGTCATTGTTACAACTAAATTGCTTTATTTAACAGATAACATATACTTTTAATCCATTTAGCTTCGACATTTCCGCTTATCTGATAGTTCGAATAATTCGAAGTTAAAGTCATCCAGATGCAAACAACAAGAGGGCTCATTGACTGAACATACTGTTAATTCACATGCCCACGAATCTACATTGCTAATAACAGATCAGAGTCCACTCATTTCATCAACTCCCGATACATTATTTTCAACACTACATTCTTCACAGAGTTCAGATTCGTCTCATACAGACGATGAAGACAAGGAATTCCCACCTAAACGTGCTTTACGATTGGTAAGTTTTCTGAAGTATATTTCAGTTTCGTTGGGGTTGTGGATTGTTCTGCCTTATCTTTAGTGATGCGTTTTTCTATTTTGTGTTGATTCGTAACTATAACTAGCTTCTTTCACTTTCTTATAAATCGTGTCAATCAAACAAATAGCCCCCAAATGCCCTGGTACGGCCGATAGTGAAGAGAGTCCGCTCTCCCTCTCGAAATGATCTCACATGGCCACGCGTATATAGACTCTGCCAGGGAAGTCTTACTCATTGCCTTCTCGTGGCGGGGTTGTTGTTTACAAAAATGAGAGGACGAAAAGCGAATGTCCGGCGCTTTAACCGGGCTGGTGGACATGGAGAGTCCACCTAGTGGAGTTGGAAAACCCTGATTCCAAAGCAATGTTGCACATGGGCTCCAGTATCCTGAAGGAACAAATGGCGTATGAACCAATCGTTGGTCACCGGCTACTATGGGACTGCATCTCCTCACAATGCTCCAATGCTTTGTGGATCAGACCTTTAGATCGAAGGCTCCGGGTATGGTCCCCTAAGAAAACGACCTACTTCGGTTTGGGCACCCGGTCAGTATCACAGCCCTCACACATATCAAATGAGATTTGTGTGGCGCATATGTATTTGGTGCCTCCTTGTACCAATATCTATGTGTTCAACTAATAGTAATAACAACAAAGAGATTAAAAGAGAGAAACAGCCGAAACTTCCCTCTCATTGCTAAAAATTTTTCATTCATTAAATTTTAGTGTCAAAACTACAATGTCTACAGCACTGAAAATTCCATTGTAATCTATCTTTTTACGTTTAGGTATTGCAGACATTAGTAAGCAGAGTATGAATCTGGGACTTAGAAGCTAAAAGTCGAATGCCTTAACCACTACACCACGGTTCAACCAAATATTCTTCAATACATAGGTTTATTTCTTTCCCTCGAGAAGATTTCAAAAGTGTTTATAGACTGACTAGTTAGATAACAGATGAATTTCAAGACAAGATAATTTTTAGTATTGTATTGACACAAAACTATCTTAACCTAAAATTGTTTAAGAAGAAAATGAACGATATAATGAAGTTATGATGACTGTCTGTAGAACAATGAGAAGACGGAGTTGATCTAAAAAATGTGATGTATTTGCGCTATATATTTCGAACGATCTGGTTATGCACATACTTGTCAATACGTTTTTTGTGAAAATTAGTAAAGGTTGATTAAATGAAGATTAAAGTAAACAAAGGAGAGATGAAAGTTAACATTGCATAGGAAGAGTAGGAAATTATCGCATTACCCTAGGCCATAATGCGAAAATGAGGCAGGGTTGATTATTTATTGATTTCTGTTTAAAGGTTGAAAGTTTACTGAGCACTTTTCGAGTGAATGACGCCATAGTAAACGTGGTCCGAAACCCGAAATAAATTGAAATAGTCGTTTTCATCATTCTGTTGACTAATGTTTCTCTGTATGCTCGATGGCGTTCGAGTGGTGACCCTTCACAAGTTTTACGTCCGACTTTTGTGTCTTTTAATAGCAGATTCTACCATTAAACCTGCCCAACAATCGATTCAAGTTCGACCTTCAGGTTAAGGAATATGAAAGACTAATATTCAATTTACACATTGGTGTCTAGAACTGAAACCATCTTGACTTTCCTGGGTTCGATATTCACATTCTCCAATCATGTGATTGATTACAAATGTTAAGGTTTCAGACACCATACTACTCAAACTGTTGCTTTAGTGCGTTTCACATGGAATTTTGCCATTTATGTTGAACGTTGACGATTAGTGACCACATCCACTCTTACAGAATTTAAGAAATAATGTCCGTTGTAATCAGTGTATATATCATGTAGTTACAATCTGATAAACTTCAACTGCCACCCAACACAAATTAAGTTATGTTTCTTCATAAGACTGAATAAATAAGTTCTAGACTAAAAAGTATGTTGACTTGTTTCATTGTGAGGTGCTATATGTATATATAAATAGTGTAAAACCTGGTATAAACCGGTTCAAGGTGACAACTCAAACCAAGACTGACCGGAAATAAAAAAACAAAAAGGTAGGGGTGTGGGAAGGTAGTAGAAAACTGAAACCAAAAAATATCAGGAGTGTTGAATGCAGTACGTTGAAAACCCAAAAAATGATACCGAATAAATATATCTAATTCACTTCAACCGATTCCAAGCACTATCACTTGGCGTTTTCAATCATAAATTACTATTATCTCACCGACTTGGGATGGTAAATTTGAATATTTTTACTCCTTTTGTAGCTCGTAAACCTTTCTCTTGTAATGGTCTACCTGTCTTCACTCGTTGATATATATATTTTTAGTCTCCAGTGTTTGGTACACTAATCCAATTCGCACGTGGTCGTTTGGTTTCACTAGAACTGTGTTTATCCGCTAAATGCTACTCAATCCAATGGGACAATTAAATGACATTCATTTGTTATCCTACCTGATCAACGTAGTAGGTGTTTATAATTGTACTCACATAACCATCACAAAGGTTACATCTTCAGTGTTTTATCGAATATCAGCTGCAACCGTCTTCTAATCATAAATAGGTGTTATGATTTCTCTTATTACGACCCAGCTACTTTTATTGCTTAGTATTCTTGGACACTACTTCACTCAACAAGACCTCAAATCAGAACACGTTTGAACAGGAACGTAATTATATTCCAAATAAAAAGGGTGGATAAGAATATGAATCATAAAAAGAAAAACGTTAGTATATTTATAATTTTCACACAGGAAGATTCTAGAACCTTCTACAAGTCTCCGCTAGCACCGATTGGTTAAGAAATAGTTAATCATCGTGCCCCAACACGATCCTGCACGGAACACGCTTTAATTTAATCTATATCCCTCTAAGAACAGAATGTTTAGAATTTTGTTAATTACGAAAATTCGATATTTCAATTCGTTGTAAATTTTTGGCCGCTAGTAGTGAAAAATAAGCTAGGATTCTGTGCACCTTCATTTTCAGATGTATAATCAAGATCAGTCTCTTCATATTTAGCTCATTGAAATTTACTTGCCATGGTAGTCTGTTGTTTGACTACTGTCCCATTTTTGAACTTGATATGATCACCATTCTTGGATATATTAATCACCAGAATTGACACAGGAAAACTGGAGACTTAAGTATGTACGAAGCCAACGCACACAGATCGAATTCTCAATTACAGTAACAGCAACCCAAGAGCTCACATAATCAACCACGTACAAAATTTGTTTAAGAAGGTGAGGACACACTGCAACACACTTGCAAAGCAGAAAAATGTCTAAAGACTGCCTTTCGAAAGAACGGCTATCCAACACCAAAAAATACCAACCAAGTGCATCAGCAGAGACAAAATCAAATTGAAAAACCGACGAACGGATCATCTACCACATGTAAAGGCATAGCAGAAATTACCACGAAATTGTTGAAGCCTTTTGGAATAAGTTTAACACACAGACCAACAAAATTACTTCAATCAATCTTGTGCAAACCAAAGGATGAAATGACGAAAGAAGGAAAAGTGGACATCTACAAAATAAATTGTTAGAGCTGCAAAAACACTACATCGGACAAATAGGACGCCTGCATCTTTGCCTGCACGAACACCAATTAGCGGTCAAATGCCATGATATATCCTCGCTTGTGTCAGTGTATGTGGACAACTGTGGACACATTTGACTGGGAAAATGTCGAGATATTGGATAGATGCAATTAAAAAAACACCAGCAACCAACAAACATTGTGCTGATGATGCTCAGAATAACTATGAAAGCTCCACGATCAAATCATCCAGTTCAGAGAATAAATATCCACCGAAAGGGACAAGATTTCCACTACAGGCGAGCGGGCATATAAGTTGAAAAATAAAGGAATACACAAAATGGGAGTAAAAGAGGATAGTTAAATGACAATGTAAAATTAAAACGAATGTTACAGAATAGTTGTGATTGTAATTTGTGATAATAAGACTCAAAGCGAAAATTATTTTTCTAGTTGTAGTCGTCATTTAATGTGTATTGGTTGCTAAAAGCAAATTGATTGACTTTCGTTATTGTTTGAAGTAGAGAATGCTAGTTTCATGTTCTATTAAGGAAACTACGATCCACCGGGACGAAGATCCGTATAACTAACAAAAATCGATTGCTTTTAATAATTAAAAACCGGATGTAACAAGTTGTAGTGAAAATTACTGCACAATTTCATTTGTATAGTTATGATATAGTAATCATTGTATTAAATTTATATTTGGTTCATAGGCTATTAGACGGTTGTTGCAGCGTGTCAATCAATCACTTTTGATTTCAGGGAAGATGTGTCAATGTCATGCACTAAATCTTTGTACACATAAGTCTGGTGTTTTCGAAAGAGATAAGTTATCAATTCAACCTACTTCATCGGTGGATAATATAATTTGTCAAACTCCAAATACTTCAACACCATTCCATTCATATCCTTCTACTTTATCTTCATCTACCACTCAACTTATGAAACATTATCAAACATCTTCATTGGTTTGTAGTGATACATCTTGTTCACCTGATATATTATCACATAGAAATCGGTCTAGCTTATTCTTAGATCCTCAGACCTATCATTCAACTGATGAACAGGTTAGTATCATGAAGATATTTTGTCTAGTAGTATAGTATATGTCTATGTATTTATTTTAAAATAATATCAAAATTATAAACAGAATTGACCTTGATGACCTGCTAGTCTATAAAACTAAATTTCATCTTCTTTTGTGTGGTATTCTATAAAAATAGTCAATTAACGTAAAACAATGGGACTTTTAAGCTGTATTTTCTTCGGTTCTAGTTGATTGATCCAAGAATAACGTACTTTCTATGGAGCTTTTAATTAAATCGTTGTCCAAGTCTGGAAGTAAACCTTTCTTGTATGGCCTCAAATATTGGTTTGCTTCTGGTTAGTCTAACTAAGTACTGATTTACATACGCAGTTGTAGTCTTCGTAATTTGAAAAGGGCTGTTCAAATTACTGTGAGGGTGATTGTTGTTTAAACCTTCGTGTTTTAAATCGACCATCTGTATCACAGATCACCATTCTTGATAAAAATATAATAAATTTCAAATACTAGTTTATTTGGAGGAAATGTAGAATGTCAGTGAACGTTTTGTAACATAACCAATTCATAACGAATAATTTTAAAAACCAATATCGGTTATGAAAAGAAACAAAGTTAAGAAAGGTCCAAATATGTTTCATTATACTTTGTGGCCCAACAACCATTATCTATTTTATATTTGAACTTAAACATCTAGGTCTTATAGCTCTTACATTACTTTTGAATTATGGAATTAAAATCTGATGATAGACATTTTTTAACTCTATATATATTGTGTTTAAAATGTTGTCATTAGAATTTCTCCTGCTTACTGTTTTATAATGGTTGTAATAGGGAGTTCCTCGCAGTCACGGAGTCCATAATTTTTTATACTGATTAGTACCAAAGTTGACCAGTATGAAATAATATTAGCTGAAGGGCTGTTACGAATAGGAAAATCTTGAAATGTTTCGGAGTATTAGCTCGATGCTCTTCAATGATACGCATTATTGGCCTTTTTAGGGACATTGAAGAATGTTCTCTCCAAATTAAGAAACGATTGAAATCGATGTATTCTGACTTTTAGGTCCTTATTTTACCTACAATATGATGTATTAGTCATTAGACCTGAATTTATCACTTCGGTATCGGAGATGAGCAGTCGCATTCATACTGTGTTTAGTTTTCAAATATAATTGTTTTCTAGATTTTACTATTGATGTCTAGTGTAAGTTTGTGCAGACCATATATAAAGCAAATCAACTTCTGGAAACAATCAAATAAGCAGCCATCATAACAGCTGTACTTGAAATCCAAATAAGTAGTTTAATGTGACTATCGATTCTCACTCATCCCTAGATGATGATAATGATCTTGTTTGAGTTCATTATTAAAATGTTTCATTTTCATTATAGAAAGTATAGTGACGTTATTTATCCAAATATATTATTTATAACTGAGTAGCTTTTCTGTTAGTCTGAACAATTTACTTTTCACTAGTTAATCTAACTTCAAAGTGAAACCATGATCACATTGACCCATCTAGAAAAGTTTGTTGATAATGTGTAATGACCTTACATTTTTCCCTCTATCTTTTGGTCACTTTTTATACAAGCAACTTGTTTTTATTTGTTAGAGGAATATATCCACATAATTAAAAAAATAATTAGATTGCGTTTTGCAACTTTAGATAATCTAAAATCTCAGAAATATTGATCCCTGTTTCCACATTCTTTAAATCACGTAACCTAATAAAATCAACAAGCAGGTGGTTTTGTGTTGGGATATTCAGAAAAATATCCCAAAAATTATCCTGTTAAGTCTAATGCCATCCTTGGACTTGAAATGGCATCATTTTCCTATTGGTCAATTTTTATTTCGCGTGTCGTTTCCCTACCGGTCAATATTTATTTCACTTGTCATTTTCCTGTTGGCCAAATTTTGTACGAACGTTGTTTTCTATTTTATGGTACGTTGTGGTCTGTTTGATTGGTATATAAACTCAGAATGTTTGTAATATAACGATGCATATCGCAGAGGCTGAGACTTGTGTTCTGGAGTAAACTGGCTGGGCTAGGCGGAAAGCAGGACCAATTAGGAATCTAGGCGGCTCGCACGTATTTTACGCGTTATTGATCCGATCGATAAGTCACTGCACAATAATCGGCGGTCACAAGTTATAACATTTTGTCTACATGAATTCATTTTTAATACCCTACTATAAAGTTAGTTTTAGTATTGCTTTTATTCATAAATCTACTTCGTTATAGTTTGATGGTAAACAATCTCTGTGCTAATGTGATATGGTTACTGAAACTGAAACGTACGAAGTTGTACGTTTTGACTGACTGATGGTAAACAGTCATTATTGAAAATTAGTCATCTCTGTATTTATATTGTAAAAGGAAATCAGTCTCCTTGTTTTAAAATCATAAGTGTTAATCGGGACATGCAATCTAAATGCATCAAGACTTAACTGTTTTTGGATTTAATTAGTAAATTGTAGTGTTATTCTGAGAACTGTGGGTATTATTTGAATTCACTGTCTTCAAAATTCAAGCCTTGATCACTAGGTACCTTTACAAGACCTCATCAAAGTAACTGGTACGATCATTAATGTACTGAAAATACGTTAAGTTTAGAAGAAGATCCACTGAATTTTTCAAAAGTTAGCACATGTTCATATGTTTTTGTTAACTTCGAGTGGACTAATTTACACCAATCTTTTAGTCAAAAATTTCAAAAAAACCGTACATATGCAACAGAAAAATTAGTGATCGGAACGCTCCACGGAGGTGCAATCATTAGCTACATCTGGTAAATAAGGGAGTCTGCTTTGTGTTTTCCATGTCACAAATAATAAGAATCTCACTGTTAGTGGACCGTTCTCTGAGGGTTGTGCCATGTTTGTTAATAATTCCCAAGAGCCAATTTGGAATACTTACTACAGAAAATTGACGTTTTCAACTCGTTTATATTTCCATATATTCAGAATTTCACAAACAGTACTAATTTTGACGTCGGTTTTCAACCCGATGGATTGTCCATTTTTCTGCTGTAACATTCTCATCTTTTCATGTATTCATATTCGACTCCTATACATCATGACGAGTAGGATTTGTTTGAAAGGACCAGTATAGCAAATTCATTGTAAGTTACTGACTAGGCAGGTTTACTTTTTAATTACATGGACCCTACGATACAATAACTCATGTAGATAGGTATTATGTAGTTATCCTTCCCATATCTTAACGTAGGTTATTTTGGCTCCTTCAAACCTAATGTATTTTTCCTGGTGTGTGTCGCTGACTAAACCTTACTGCTAAACCTTATTTCCTAAACTTTCACATTTTATTTACAGTGGCTAAATAGATTATTTAGTTCTAATCCATTTTGTTTACAATGAAGTCACAAAAAAATCAGAGCGGATAGTGGAAACAGGATATTCTCACGTTGTATATGCTTCTTATAAAAGAATAAGTAGTGCTTCAAGACGGCATACAAGTTACCTGAATTCTCGTACACTATCATGCTTTGTATTTGTTTGAATACCTTCTTTACGCCGGGAATTGTAAATTTTGTCTTTTTTTCCAGTTGCGTGTTGAAAACGAATGTAAATGTAATTTGTCTTCAGTTGTACATCCCTTCGAAAGTCATCGCAAAAAACATCAAGAAAAATGTCTTTTGTCGCGGCGAGGTCACTTCAAACTCCTAACTAGACGTCCCTACTTAAAGAAAACGAAATAAATAACCAGTTCACTACAATGTAACTTCACTTCTTTTTCACCACCTGTCTGTTTGTACTTCATAACTTTGCTTCATTTATTTGTTTTTCCCAGAACGTTGCTTAATCCTATTGCCTTTTCTTACTGGATCAACTTCTCATTATTTGTCCAAAGTATTGTGATGACCATTTATGCAAATATATTCAGATTAACTGAAGTGTCATGTTGTCATTTGAGTTGCCATTAACTGAGATTCTGAAATTTTTCATGGCTACTGGCTTTCTGATTTTTTATAAGTATCTATTTCGAGTAGTGCTTATGAATTCCTTTATACTTCGCTCTTTCAATATTGATCCCACATTTTGTATGCAAACTATTTACACACAACAGTGGGGCTTGTTTATTTTTGATTTATTGTTATCTTTTATACAAAATAATATTTGTTTTATTCAGTTTAATTCATTTCGTTCAATACATTTATATATGATAGTCTATCCACTTTTTATACCGTGTAATACTTAACCTGACTCCTATGGGTCTGATCTATGATCTGCCTTTGTTTACCCTTCAGTTTGATCTCGCATGAAGCCGTTGTCACATTTTAGTGAGTTGTAAAGTCGTCTAGGGATGTTTTGGTTATTCTGTGACTGCCTGTAATCTCTTGGCCTGATTCTGTAAACTATCGATAGCGCTGCACAGGATCATTTGTTTGTATTCTCAGTCACCCTGAAGTGTATTTATCTAAATTACGGAAGTGTCCGTTTCTCGCTGTGCGCAAAACTAATGATTTCGGAGAAATCTTTGTCATTTCACACGGTCGCCTGGAGCCGTCCATTTACTTGAGAAAATGACTAGGTCATACGATAGTTTAGGAGTGAAGAATATCATCCGTAGAACTAGTTGAGATTGTGAAGGTTTTTGGAGGTGTTTTTTTATTTATATATCACTCGTGATAACGACTCACTTTGAAATGCATTTTTGTGACTTCGTAGTCACGTAGCTTCTTATCGTTTACTTCAATCCTTCACATAGATACTAATTATTGAATCCATTATTTAAGTCTGAAAAGTTTCCTGACATCGGGTCCGTGCTTCTATTTTCGTCACGTTTATATAATATTCATTCAATATGGCGAATATTATAAATTATAGGGGTTTTGGAGTATGTATCACTAACTGGGTGTTTGTAATGACGAAAACAGCATCATGCATGCTTCCCTTTTAGACCTATCCTCGGAAAGGTCATTACATCCGCAAATGACTTATCAATGGGTACTGACCAGTACCATGTATCTCTGGTCGTTATTGTTGATTGAATTCAAGTGATAACTTGGAATAGTGTTCATATTGCGAATTAATTGATAGAATCCGGTTTGCACGAAGAAGGATACGCCACCAATCACTACTAAGTAGCTGAAGTGCAAAAGACATGACGCAAATATCCAAGCATATGCAGAATAAATAAACAGTTGCATTCAAAACACGCATTTAATCCTTTTTGGAACTAGTTATCTTAAAGTTTTTTACTTTCTGAGAGCCAAATTTGGTATCTCGCGCTCTACATGTCAACACATTATCCACCTAGCTACTGATTCTTGATAACCATTCTCTTGTCCATTATGTATGTAATTAAACGTAACTGGTGGTCGTTTTGATTTTCTCGTTGACGTCGCTACTGTATTAGGTAAACCCCCACTTAACGCACATTTGCTAAAATTATTCAAGCATTTGGTCAGAATATCAACAATAAATTAATCAAAATCACTACAGACAGCAATGAAAAATATTTAAGTTGTCTGCAGAAACAGCAATCATAACAAAATATCAGAACACATTCAATTTGATCCATATCCCTCCCTTCGTCCACTAAATTTTCAGGAAGTTTGACAAGCCATTCACACATATAGTGGATTTACAGAATTCAGTATTGACTACATTATTATTGCCTATAGAACTGTGGGGTTATCAATAACAATCATCATTTAACTAACATTAATAAAACAGTTTTGTTATTAAAACAAAAAAGACCCCTTTCGGCCTGGAAGTTCACTGTTCGCATGGATATTTAAGCTCCTTTTCTGTTGGAATAGTACAACCATTACATTTAGATCCAGAGAAAATGAGCGTATACCTCTGAAACCTAAAATTTTAATAGGTTTCAGTACGAGCACATTTTTCATTACTAAAAGGAACCGCGTCATCATTTCCAGACCAGTACATAGATGGGTGTACTGGAGAAAATCTTTAGAGCCTCACTCTTGGCATTACTGTAAAAAGAAATATTAAATGCGGTCCAGTGTTTGCTACCCTCTAATATGGTAGCAACGGACATGCTAATTAAATACAGTAGCACCAGAAACAATTAGTCGTGACTGCTTGCTTCCAGTCTTACACACAATAGAATCGTATGTTTTCTTTGCAGCCGTTTAAATATCCTAATGAATTTTTGCAATAAGAAAGTGTTTCTAACAAACCTGGAACGATATGCCTGCCATATGTGACCATTGAAATCAGGAAAGTCTAATATGGTGTAGGGCCAGTGAAATGTCACTGAGCCCTAGCCAAATCATCCGGCAGTTGGATCACTGAATGTCGAACAGATCGTCGCTCCCTGCCAAGGTCATGTACAAAAAACGCGCATTAGTTAATCATACGCCATGGACTGGCCCGTGCGGCAGTGGTCTTACTTTCGCTTGTATCTACTTTAACTAATATATTTCTGTAATAACGTCCTTTGTGTTGTACAGTCTTCAAAGCATCTATAGTACCTTGTTACGTCAATGGGGGTAGTCCACGTAAGGTGCTGACCACGAGGTGTGACTTCGACGTTAGTTGGTTCGTCACACTATTCACGTCTAACTCGAGCAGGCCTCCAATCATTTCGACATAGATCATCTACGTTGGTGATCCACACTGGTGAGCAAGACTTCGAATAACGCAACCTATCACTATAATATTTATTATTGTATTCTATACTTATTCTTTTTCATTTTTATCATCGCCTATGTTAATCTGTTACTGTGAACTTTCGTTGCTTCATGCCAATGTTGATTAGCATTTAAACCTAAATAATTCGTTCAATCGACAGAACTAACCAATCAACTACGATTATAATCGGCTATCGTGGTTCTTTAACAAGCATTAGCAGCATGTAAATGCTCCTGTGTAATATGTCTGTTAAAATATCAACCACTCGTGAGTATAGCCACAAGGCAACACGAACGCATATCTTTTTGTACCTTATCCACTGGTATAAATAAGACAAGATTAACTATCGACTATAAATTCATCTTTCTGCTTAACCACTATCCACTAGAATGTTCTGCTTTTTTTTACCACTGCCTGCCTAATTTCCAATTGCTGAGTTCCATGGCCAAACAGGATACGAATGCTAGAAATTCACAGTGAGTTTGAACTATAAATTTCCTGCGATCTTAGATCTCGTTTAGACTGTTCGTTAGGTAATGCTATGTATTCGGCTTAAATTAATTCTGGACTTATACCGATTCAGTCTACAATGCTGTGTTAATCGAAAAATTTAATCAACAGTACCTCGTACATAATCCAGATTCAAACTACTGTCTACTTCATATCTTCATTACTTAAAGGCAAGAGTAACCCAGGCGAGTTTCATAATTTCATTAGATTATTTCGTACTATATTTATGATGCGTGATAACATTTCGTAGTTGCTTTCACGTAAACTAGCCATATATTCTGTTACTGCCGTCAAGTTTTAGTCGAAATCATGTACATTTATGACTCGTTAGTCGACATACTGTGGTAAAACATATTGCATGTACACGAGCACGCTTAGTCCATGTCCCAAGTACACACGTTGTCGTACTGAATATGTCACTTAACGCTAGGTAATAAGCTCTTTGTATCAGCCTTTTACGAAATGGCCACGTTACCTGGATCCTCTAAACCTTATTTACATTGGTGGTTACCATTTTAATTAATGTTTATTATACCCCTTGTATTTGCTAATAATTCACACGGTAAATCATGGCTCGATTTCCTTATTACACGACAGTCATTTTAATTCTATTTTCGCTTTATTTACATGCGATACGGGTTTGGAAAATATCTAAACGTCCTCGAAAATTCTCCACGAACCCAACCGTAGTTTTCGTATATGTTTTTATTCACACATCCAACAGTTACGCTAATAATACCTAAACGAACGTTCAGTGCAACTGTCAGTATACGTAAGAACGATGTTATTTAGACTTGACATTGTAACACATCTGAACTATTGTAGTAGTTCTACTTCGATGTCGTACTTCATTTTATGAAGTATTGTTTCCTCGTGGCTGTTATTTAACAGATGATTCCGGTACATCAATCGGCTGTTCAACTACTCGACGATTTACAACCTGTCCAGTTCAATTGGTGGTCTGACGACAATATCATTCGCGCGAATAATCAGTTTATGCAGTCGAGCGAATCTCCTGCAAACTGAGAACGATATTGTCGCCTCTATCCCAACACTGACAGCGTTTTTCACGGGTATCATTGACATGAGTCCAGAGTGACACTCTTGGTTTCTTATGTTCTTTTCGATATTTTTCTGTTCACTAACCGAACAAACACGCAGCATTCACCGTTTATCATCTTTTAGAGACTTCATCGTGCCACCTTTGCTGTCGATTTGTAGCCTTCAACCCTTACTAACTGTGACAGCAGTCATCGACTTTTCAAACTGTGACTACAAGTTGGTCAATAGATTCGCACAATGAAATCACGACCACTCTTCACGGTTATACTTCTGTACTTACGGTTAGTCTGTTAGATATAGATATAACTAGAGTTTGACACTAATTAATAGCTGTCAACGACACTGTCCGACTTACAACTTTAAACTAATGACAGTACAAACAAGGACATCGATTGATAATACACTTATCCTACTATCGCTATAGCATCATTACTCTTGCGGCAGACTTAACGTTTGTCATCGGAGGAACTGAATTACTTGTCAAGGCTATATATTTCAGCGCGACTTGATAGAACAATAAAACGTTTTGTCCTTTTCATTATTTCTATGGTTAATCAATTTACGTTTAAGCAACGTCCTACTAACATATTATGACTCGCTGTTTCCCGACCAGTTTCTGCCGCCTTCTTTCCATTTGTTTTACAGATAAGCAATACCTGGAGGATTTATAATATTCGTTTGGCACTCTCCGGCGCGCGACTGCTCCTAACATGTTTGGTACCGATTCAAACGGCCGTTGAATCTGGTGGGGGAGTATTGTAGGGCCAGTGAAATGTCACTGAGCCCTAGCCAAATCATCCGGCAGTTGGATCACTGAATGTCGAACAGATCGTCGCTCCCTGCCAAGGTCATGTACAAAAAACGCGCATTAGTTAATCATACGCCATGGACTGGCCCGTGCGGCAGTGGTCTTACTTTCGCTTGTATCTACTTTAACTAATATATTTCTGTAATAACGTCCTTTGTGTTGTACAGTCTTCAAAGCATCTATAGTACCTTGTTACGTCAATGGGGGTAGTCCACGTAAGGTGCTGACCACGAGGTGTGACTTCGACGTTAGTTGGTTCGTCACACTATTCACGTCTAACTCGAGCAGGCCTCCAATCATTTCGACATAGATCATCTACGTTGGTGATCCACAATGGAAAGTTGGGCGTAATAATCCAAATAAATAATGGAGGGCATAATAACGATGTATTATCATGGTCAACATTCATGTCAGTCTCAAAGTATCAACAGTAAAATTAAATGTTGACACATACATCGGGAAAAAAATTAAGAAAACTAGAATGAGGACGATTCAGACTCCTGAGAGTCCAGATCCAGAACTTAGATCTCCTTAAACAAGAAATCTCTCACACGACCCAGACACGGATCCCAATGTTCAAGTAGTTAGCCATTTCATTGAAATCACGAGCATGTTAACCATTGAAAAAGTGTAAGCAAGTGTTTCTTTCCAATATGCGACTCCTCAAAAGTGTACATTTATGACCGTGCACTTTAGACTGGATCAAAAGGCTTCCGAACTCTCCCAAAGAGTTGGCTTCCAACGTTATTGTTGTCTAGCTTCAGTCAATTCAAGAAATTGTGCCACCATTTCCCATTGTTTTCAATTAGTAAGTGCCTCATACTCGGCAAAGTTTAACTTCATTGGTCACGGTCACTCAGTACTTCTAGGTTTTTGTTCGTTGTTCAGCTTTGATCGTCTCGTGATTTCATACATCAGGACGCCATTGGGCCAATATTCGAGAAAGGTCATCAAACGTAATATGCATGATCCAAAAACATTCTCGGAAGAACTCGAAAGGACCTGACCACAAAGCCCTCACGATCTGATATTTTTTGGCTGATCACACTTTTCTAACCATTATTTAGTTCTGGTACATTGTAGGATTGAAATTTAGCGAGTTTATCAAAACGATTTAAAAGCATAAAACTGAATTCAATCTCGATAGAACAACAACTGTCAATGATTAACAAATGTTTTCTTTATCCTGTTTTATTCTCAGATAAGTAAATAAAAATTGGAAATTGTATTATTTGGTTCAACGAAATCTGCCCAACAGATAATGTGGCGCGAAATTCGGCACTTTCGGGGATGGGTAACTATGTAAATTTCCGGGCCAGTCCAGTGAACAAGGAGACAGATAAACACCTAACGCCTATAAAAATACCCAAACACTCGAAAGTCCTAGACCTTGACCCACGTTCACCCAGTGATGGGATAGTAAGAACCCCAATCCAAATAGACAAAGATGACCCATGTTCACCATCTTGTGTTATTCGCACCCCAGTCAGATTTTCTAGTAAATCAGATATTAAAACAAGTAAATAATTTTTTTATTAGACGGACTTAGTCCTGGAGTGCCTTACTTTAATAACTATGAAACTCCTGATGGTGTTTTGACAGAAGACGATTCAATACACCGAGGTAACAAGTCATCCTCACTGTCGGATACTGAGGTTGCACACAACACGAAAGCTAAGAGTAAGTCTAACTCTCGTATATGCTGCTCACAGTGACTGTCTGTGCTCTACTGTCACCATCAGACAGGTCAGTAGAAGAACGATAAGACTACGAGCATGAGATCCAAGGTTCGATGGCGAAGTCGTACTCCTGGCTGTACAGAGGTGTGCTAGGGAATGATGGTAAATCAGTTAATGAGGTCGTAAATCATCAGTGACTGAGATGGTTGGGTCACGTGTTGAGTATGCCAGAACACCGATTACCACGTCGCGCAATCCTGACTAGTGTAGAGGATGGTTGGAAGAAAGTTAGGGGTGGCCAAACCAAAATGTGGCATCAGTCCTTGAAGTCACTAACTTATGGTCTGAACCGCGTTGGTAGATGCAGACAACTTGGTTAGGGTCCGTGTGACTATCATAACCAATGGCTGGAGAGAGTGGGTGTCAAGGCTCAGAATCGGCCACAATGACGTCGGTGTATCAGTCTTCAGTAATAAGGATAGGAGGTCTGTCGACCTATATTAATCCTTGCACTGTCTTCCCTCAAACTATGAGATTGAAATCGCTTCATATCTTTATTTCTACGTACTAATTCTTTCTTCCTGTACTATATCCTTATATGCAATCTTTCTTTTATATATTACCACCATTTACTTAACTACCCGTATGAACCCGGTGTTCATCTTGTTGTGCTAATGAGGTATGGCAACTTGGACCGATGCATATGTGTGCCTGGTCCTACGTTGTAGCTGACTGACTGACAAAGGTGTGACGGCAGCAATGTGTTTTCGTCAAACAATGAGCATAACAGTGACGCCTTCCCACAAAGGAAGGGTGAGGTTAAAGAAGGTCGACCCTATAAAGCCCACCTCGCCTTATCCCATAGATATCTGTCTCCGGCAGTAAGATTTCAACAAGTGACTTTCCATGGGTCGGCTTTCTTCCAAGAAATTCACTTGTTGGCCTTAAAAACGTATATGGTTAGTTCTGTTTGGTGAAGACGCTGACAAAATTCAGTTTTCTAACCACCTTCATCAACAATGCAAGCATGTTTGGGATATGGTTCTCCCTCCAAATGTGAAATGTTACTTCAGGATTGGTTTGCGTCCGTGCCTGAATTAATAATAGAGATTTAAGTAGTTGAACGCACTGACCGTTTCACTTATCTTGAGAGTCTCATCAGTCCTGATGGTTTGGTGTCTGACGAAATCTCAACACGTGTTCAGATAGGTCGATTGGACTTAGCTAACTTGCGTCGATTTTGACCTAGGCGAGATACCTATCGTTCAAGCAAGGGACGGGTTTACTGGGCAACAGTTTTCTCCGCTCACTATAGGAATGTAATCATGGACATTAATTATAGAGGATATCCATAGACATTCAATAGGGCCCCCAAATGCCCTGGTATGGGCGAGAGCGGGGTGGTCTCGCCCTCCCTCTTGAAATACTCTCATACGGCCAAGCGTATGTTGGAACACCGCCATGCTTATCACAAGCCAACAATAGTAGTTTTTCTTGACATCAGGGCTGCTTACGATTCGTTGGACATGACTGTTCGCTGGGATTGTTTTTTGAAGGGTGTGTCAGAGAAGTTCATTAACATCTTAAAGACCCTATACACAAACACCTCAGGTAGAGTGAGGGCATACAACCACCTTTCTTCATTGTTCCATTCAAGCAGTGGGCTTAGGCAGGGTTTCCCAATCTCACCATTTCTCTCCAATTTTGTCATCGATGACATTCTGCAAACAGCTCTGATGAATGTAAGTAATGGCGGTGTGGATCTGTTGCCTGGAGAAACTTATCGACCTTGAGTATGCGGATAATGTTGTCTTACTGTGCGATAATGCCCAAGGCATGCAATCCGCACTTGATCAGTTAGCAATCAGTGTCCGTAGGTATGGTATGTGCTTTGCACCTTCGAAGTGCAAAGTACTTCTACAAGACTAGCAGGATTCTAATCCTGTACTCACCCTGGATTGTGAACAGATAGAAGTAGTCGAGAAATTCGTGTATCTAGGTAGCTGCATAAGTACTGGTGTTGGCGTGAGTGATGAGATCAATACACGTATAGTGAAAGCCAGAGCGGATTATGCCAATCTGGGCCATCTTTGGCGCCTTCGTGATGCCAGTCTAACTGTAAAAGATCGGATCTACAACGCGTCGGTGAGAGCAGTTTTGCTCTATGCCTGTGAAATCTGGCCTCTCCGAGTTGAGGATGTTAGACGACTCTCTGTGTTCGATCGTCGCTGTCCCTGAAGGATTGCTGACATCTAGTGGCAACACCATGTTAGTAATTTAGAGGTTCAGCATCGTATGTTCGGGCACAGAGATGATAATGCAATTGGTGTCACCATCTTGAAACATCGACTTCGGTGGATTGGACATGTTCTCCGAATGTCGTCCCAGAGAATTACACGTACATTATTTGCCGACTCTGAGACTGGTTGGGAGAAGTGGAGAGGTGGTCAGTGTATGACATGGTGTCGTGGTATGAAAGAATTCTGCCTTATTGAGGTATGCTTGACTGTCGTAACCAATGGTTAGAAAATTTAAATGAAATGACTTAATACTGTTTGCAATAGTGCAAGTGTATCCATTCTTTATCTTCCCCCAAATCTTAAGATTCTAAGTTCCTCATAACTTTTTGTTCTTCTTTCAATAATTTTTCTTTTCTCACCGTATCTTCGTTGCCTAATCTTTACTATTGCCACTGATACTGTTACTACCTCCACTATTCTGCGGTTTGGCCTGACATCTATACTAACGAGGTATGCTAACTTGAACTGGTGTACATACGTACAGGTTCTGCGTTGTAACTGACTGACTGTGTAGTATCTGCAAGGTTATCGTCATTGTGATAAATCCCCGCTATTGTGGCACATGATTGGCTATTAGTATATGCCCTCAGTGCTTGTTGACATAATTTGTATTTACCTTTGCTGATGATCCCGTAAAGTCTTCATACTCTATAGTTAGATCTACTACCATTTCATTCCCACTGACTGGAATGTGGTAAAAGTACTTTTTAAATTGGGCATTCGGAATTAATATTAATTCTTTACTCCACTAGCTGGCTACCTACCTACGTTAGAGTTTTCCTTTTTTTATTAGCGTTTTGACCAGGTGGGGTTGTCAGCTCAGAATTTAATCCACGAGTGCATCACTTCAAGTCTTCACACTTTCCCATAATAGAAAGAGTAAAGACTACCAAATCTCGAAGAAAATATAACGCACTGAAAGAAGAGGTCTTGGAAATGAATTGATGACTCATACCAATCCTTGATTTGATAATAATTTAATGCAACTCACTAAGTACAGAACTTTTCAGAGGCTATCGGTACTACTTGGTAGTTCAAAGTGAAGTAGTTAGAAATGGTTCAGACTAACAACCTACTTACTGAAACGTATAATTTAGCCATTTTTCTAATGAAATACTACTTTAGTTGCATTGTACTCTCAGGTAGACCGTAACTGCAAATTTATTGTATTCTACTGCTTTAGTTACTTACTTACGCCTGTTACTCCTAACGGATCACAGATCGCTGACCAGCATTCTCCAACCCACTACTTTAGTTACTACGTTGTTATTTACTTGATTTCACTGAGCTATATGCAGAACACCTTATAGGGTACGATTCGACATTCGGAACAACTGAAAAGTACTGCGTCCTCATTAACTTTGTATAGATAAATGCATCTAACTATAATGCTCCATAATAAAACTCCATCTATATGGTAGCTTGTATTTAATATTAAATAACTATTTTCTCTCCGTACTTTTTCAAGCTCACACGTGTGATTCGAATAATAGATTCAGACTGTCTTGGTTTGAGAAACGCATAAAGCGTAAATCTTTATATGATTCACCTGGTCTGTTTGTCAGATTTCGACACAAGCAAAACTATGAAAAGTGTAAGAAGAAGGAACAACAGGTTTGTGAGGAAAACGTGACGAATCCGACCGATATCTCACAACTGAGATCATGAGAAGTCATGTAAATTAAATAAAAGCCTGATTTACTATACTGTTATTCAGAACCCTGTCTTTCTCGGGATTTTTTTCCAGTTTTGTACATAAATATGCATTTTCTCTTACTCATCACTTTTTGTGAAAAAAATTCTCATCGATATCCTTTAATCTTATTGTTGTTTATCAACTAAACCATTGTAATACTTTATTTCACTCCTCTTTTGAATTATTAGAATGGGGATTTATGAAGATTGTAATAATTTTAACAGTTGACTAATAATTCACTGCTCCATGGTTTATCGTAAGCGTAAAATTGATCGTTTTTGACTCTCATTACGTGCCCATTCTTATTTGAAAGTGTAGTATATGCAGTTTTCGGAATCTGTGTAACTGTCTTAATGATAATGTATCTATTGTGTAAATTCCATTCCATATGATGGATAGATGAATGCTCATTTCTAAACGTATGCAGAGTTCAAGCAGTCAGATCATGTTTTAAGGATTTAATGATAATGGCTTTTAGCAATATACAAAAAAATTTATGAGGCTCCTTTTAGCTAAGCTAAACAATAATTTGTTCCAGTCGATTATAAGAACTCGCATTAGAGTCTGTTTATCATCATAAGTTCCGTAGCAGTATCTTAGTACATAGTTACCTAAGTGAGAAAGTGTTCATGAAATCGTTGTTAACTTAATTCCATTTGAAACTTTTATGTATAAACCGCTTAGTTCTAACCTTTTCTGGTAGACTATGTTAACTAACTAGAAGGTTATTCGTGCATTATTTCACGTAATCTCTGTCGGTGAACTTGTTGAAGGACTTGTGAGTTTGTGTCAACACCTTTTCATAAGATTGGTATTCCTGTATTTACATACGAAAGGATATACTTCATAACATGAGCAAAAACAAATCATATGTACCAGAATTAGAGTACAATATTTTTACTCATCACTAACAAGGGATTTGTCGGCTCTCCTACATGTATAGCAGGATTTAAAAGCCCAAACTGTCCATATGTATTAGCTATTGCTAGAGCAATTATTATTGTGGAAATAGTTTGAATACCAGAATAGGAATATGGCTTTTATACTTCGTATTCAGGTTAACACCGAAAGTCTAGTTTTACTACATATTCCTCACTTAGCTTAAATTAGGTTAGATCAAACCTTGTATATAATCTATCATCACTCAAGCAGCGTGCGAAGGAAAGCAGAAAACGTATGTTCAAAATTACTTAGGTTGACTCTTAATACTCTACTGTCTAGTGATGTGTAGTTTACAAAATTGACACTTTTAATCGGTATTTTTGCTTCAGTGACCTTGATGTTTGTTTTGCCCATAAACATCCTGTTTATCATCTAGATTCATCACGTCTAGTGATTGTGTATTTACAAGAAGTATTTATCAGTCCAACTTTATGCATTTCCATTTCCATATACACAATAAAAAAGAAACCCTACGTCCAACTAAAATTTATGAAGTTCTACCATATTGTTTACCTTGTCACAATTTTTTTGGTCAATCTATAACCCCCATATGTCTGGTGATTTAAAACAAATAAAAACGATCTAAAAATTTTGATTGTTAGTATAAGAGATTTGAAGAGAAAATGTTCTGTAACCAACTAATTTTCGTTAATATAATTCCAGTGATGTGATAATTGACAGCCGGTATACACATACACCTAGTTTCGCTTATAAGTGTTCAAGATCAACTTTAAATAATTCTAATAAATAGAGAGCAAGAAGGGAACTATGTGCATGAAATTTCTAACAAATAAAATAAGTGGGAAAATTGGATTATGTGACTCTGTAATCCACCCAATGCTCAATTTATTCGAAATTATCAAATCAAACCCTGGTAATCATGCCTTCAGATAATTCATTTCTTAGTGTCTGTCATGAACGTCTAAGCCACTCAGTTCAACAGATGTGTTTGTCAATTTTAGCAAAGCAGTTGACGGAAACATGTGTATCCTAGTGATGCGTAGTAGTGTTATATTTGATAAGAAACTCAAATACTTGGATAGAAATACAGTTGTCCAGTATGTATATTAGCAAATCACTATTGGTTAACACGTTGGCATATTCTCGTCCGGGAACACTGACATCAAAGGAGAAAGAGACAAATGTTTTAAGACGGAATTTCCTATTTGTTTGATAACAATTGTCCTATCCAAGTTGCTATAGAGATGTCTGATTGGTTCTGCATGACAACCTTTATATTAACCATATATAGATGCAAAATATTTAAAAGGTTGTGGATTTTATCTTGTAGAAGTTAGTTGGGAGAATGATTTGGTCTACTTCATGAACAATGAAAAGCATGGTGAGAAAACCATTACATATGTTTAGTGGCAATGAGTGGTGTTATGTAGTTATTTTCTGTGCTATATAGTCAGGGATATTGCTTGGTTCTATTAAGTGATCTCAACTTCCTAATTATTACATTGGTACTTAGTCGATCTTACCTTCCCAATCTGTTCATTTTAATGACTACAATTGTCATCACATATTAATAATAACTGACAGTTATAACTAGTCAATCCCAATATACAAGTAGTGTTTGTTTTGTATTTTTAGATTCGGTTAATCAGCTATCACAGATTTATATGTTACTATACTATGTTATGGTGATATTCGAATTCAAAATTCCATATCACCATGTAAATAGTCGTCATGTGAACTAGTGACTTGTAAACGTACTTTCTGGAATTCTGGTGACAAGTCATGAACTGTCGAGTTCAACCATGTCGCGTTAGAAAAATATCGCTAATAGATAATGGTCACTTAATTTTGCGAATTGACTGATATTAGAATTGCGAACTATTAGATATCAGTCCATTAGTCTGAAGGTTTAGTGCTCGCTGCGAAAGCTAAGATTTCGGGATTCGAACCCTGGTAGTGTCGTGGATAGGAGCTACTGAGTATCAGGAAGAAGTAAAGCATACAACTCAGTAATTTAATTCTAACTGTTAGTTGAAGCAGTTCAACCTACCGATTTTGTAAAATTTGCACACTAACATAGTGATTATTAATATTAACTACTGCCACTTAAACATATCCGTTTATCTGTTGATTCGACATTTAAAATAATGCATATTATTTGCACATTTTCATATCGTTTCGATCTGTTGTTGGTGCATTATTATATTTATATTCGCGATTTTGCATCCTTTACACTTAGTTGTATCAGTCTTCCATTGAATAATCAGCAAGTAGAAAGTTATTCTGCAGTCATACCGACATCATACGAGTATTTCGGTATGACTTTGCAATGAGAATTCCAAAACCAGGGTGAAATAGTTGTCCACTACTTTCTGATTATCTAACCGAGGTGCATGGTTTATATCGAAACCTTAAATTCGAATATTTTCTGTATTGTATGGTATGTAGTATTATGTGCAACAAACTTTCATCATTTTTTTGATGCAGTTATATTCACTTTAACCGGGCGGAAAAATTAATGGAAGATGTTACCTGAATAATAACAATGAGCTCTTCTTAAGTAAATCCACTTTCTCTTAGGGAAGAATGATCTGTTTAGATGTAAAGTGTTTAGTTTCACATTGAGTAGTCAACATAATTTTACTGTTATATGTTAACATACTGAATTATAAAATAAACTTGTTAGTTACCAGTTTGTTTGTTTGTTTACTTATATTCACGTGTACCTATGATTTCTTTTGCTAGATGGGACAAAATCTAGTGGCTGAAGTGAAATTATCCACTTGTAATTCTCTTCACATGTTAGGATTATACATTCATTTGAAAGACATGAGATTCTAGCTGCTCTTCAGATCTATAATCAAGACGATCTTTTAATTAATTCAATTTGTAATGGTTTGGATTAGACGTTGTTGATAATTTGACTGAACTTCGATCATTCTTGGTTGGCATATGTACATCATCTGGAGGTTGCTTCTGCATAGTCATTATATCCCAATTTCTCGTCTTCCCGCTTAAGTATTCATTTTGGAGGGTGAGTACGTATCACTCATTATAACACTATCATTTCCTTTTGTGGAGAGTGATGGACATTGAACGATCTTAAGGAAAGAAACAAGTGAAAAGTAGATTGCCTCTATTAAATACGAAACTCTAAATTTCTCGGTGATGAAGTTTCGCCAAGTTGTATACTCGATCACTAGAAATTTCATATTATCTGTGATATTATCCATTTTCAGCTCTACCACTAGTTTTATATTTTATTGCTCATCCCTCATATATTTCTACAACAAAAACCATTCATCTTGTTCACAAAAAACTACTTAATCAACAGAATGTTCTACTATTGTTAATCAAATGTAACTTCAAGTTCATAATGTGTACACGTTTATTACGTTGATAGAAAGCAGATGATATAGGAATTAACATTTCAGATCATTGGTCATTGAGGTACAGAATTTTCTGTTACAGATTTGAAATTATTCTGCAACGTGATTAAAATAACTTTATTGGACAAACTACTCTACTGTGATGGTAGAAAAGATTTGTAGCTCAGGTGGATGATTTTGATGGAGTTTTGTTCTCTGAGCTGGATGGTTCGATCGTGGAGCTTTCATCGTTCTTCTGAACGATATCATCAGCACAAAATCAAATCAATCAGCACGTGTCACTGAATTACCTTTCACTGTAATTTTATATTACTAAAATAATGTATATACCTAGAGTTAATTTTCTTATGTATCAGTTCTTCGAAGTTACATGCCAGAATTTGTCTTCTCTTATTTTTTGATTCATCAAGATGTAGGACTTTCACGATAACATTCATATCTGTTATTTATTCGTGTATTATCGGTACAACTCCATTTGAATTATCGTATTAACATCTTATCGATTATGTCACATCTTAATTAAAATGACTTACTATCAAGTGACTGAAATATACTTTAGATAACAATCTGATTAATTCTATACGAATTTATTCTACAGATAAGTTTATTTGAAAGTAATATATTTTTCTAAGGAGCTTCTCTGATAAGTTAGTGGTTACCCTCTTCGTTTTCTTTGAACTTGTCTTATCATCCGTCATATAGTGTTTCAGTTTCATAATATTCAGCTTTAACAATATTAAATATAATGTCAAAAATAATTCAACATCAGTTATTATGAAAGTTTATTAATCAAGTTTGTTACTATGTGAATATTAGATACATCTCCATATGATCAAGCAAAATTGTATCACTCTTCTAACGATTCCAGTAGAAGACAAATAAAATCAAAGATTATTTGAATATAGAACTATCATTTAAGTTTAATTGAAAATGCATAGGATTGATTGAACATATTATATGACCTTGGTATGATTAG